ATCCCCAAAATGGTAGATTTTGTATTCAGTTTACCGCATTATCATGCATTTATAATGAATGATAGTGTGATATGTATGTTTTTTCTATTTATGTTTATCCCATTATCATTCATTACAAAGAAATTTATCCTGCTAACAGTTTTATGACTGTTCATATACATAATGGGATATATCATTCATTACACATATAATACACTTTAGCCCTTAACAATCTATAGCCCATCATTATGGGAACTTATAAGGATAATGATGGGGCTATAGTGGCTATTTAATGGCCATATTTGGGATTCAACCTGCTCTGGAGGATCCTGTGAGTCGCTGGCAACTGCGCGTCCCGTCTTCCGAGTCCTTGGGCAAGGCGATGCGACGGGGGCCGGGGGCTGGAGCCAAAAAGTTGGTGAAATGATGGTGGTTGATGGCTATTTCACCATGAAAAAAGGCGGCTATGGATCAAGACTTCTAGAGATTCTTACGCCAAAAGGTTGGAATATATGTGTGTGTGGTTTGATGTAAGGACGTTTCTTTTCCAAATATACTTATTTTGATGGCCTGCTGTGTGAAAAGTTACCACGATGTCGATTCCCATCGTGTTTGCTTTAAGAACAATACACATAATCCATCATAAGCGCATCCTTCAAATATTATCTAAAAAAATACACATTCTGGTAGCTTTATGTAGTTTTCACCATGGCAATGAGATGCGGAAAAACAATGTACATCCCATCTCCCTCCATTGGTCAGAGGAGCTGAAAGGGCCTCAAAGCAGCCGGTTGAATATTGGGAATGCCGTGGGATGCCCTTGAAAACCGGCAATTAAATAGTACATATTAGTACTAATAATAGTAATATAATTACTATGTACTAATATAAATTAGAAGCATGTTACTAATAGTAATGGATAATTAGTACATCCATACTATGGATAATTATTATGATACCATTACTACTACATATGAAATATTAGCACTATTAATACTAATCATCCATACTATTCATTAATACTAATCATCCACACCTCAAAGACTGGATTTTGAAGAGGATTTTCCGTTTCTAGGTTACCATTTTTGAGGTTCCATAATGTTCATATTTGCTGTCGAAGGTGTACTTACAATAGATGACTTGTTTTGTAGGGGCTGGAGCTATCAAACACTGAAGAGTTCAAATTCATGCAGTGATTTGACATGATTTGACTACCCTTCTTCTACCAGCCTGGTTCTTGGGGGCTTTCTTCTGAGAACTGGCAACAGGGTACAGCCAACGTTGGTCTACGAAATGAATCTCACATTTCCAAAGGTAAAACAGCCAGTGTTGTCAACCCGCTCGAGCAACAATCCTGAGTTTGGCAACGATGAACCTCGTTTGTCCCACTGGAATCCGTGCATGGTCGAGGTGTCGGCATGGTACATTGGACAATGCAAGGAAGCAAGAGATAGGCAAGCTCTTTGGGGGGGTTACCCACCTAAGACTTCAAATAGCTACAGTACATGTCAGCAAACGCATTCAAAAATAAATGGGGCACTATAGGTGGATGATGGGACGCAAACCAAAAGATCCAAAAGCCCCCCATCAAGTCCTCCGAAGATCCGTTGCTTTGAGCAATGCCCTGCGGAACGATCTGCCAGCTGAAGTACCAAGGTGGTGGTCAGTTGTTGTACAAAGGTTCTGGCGGCGGATCCTTGCAGATTTGTTTTTTGAAGGCGCCTTATCTTCGTGTTGGTCAGCTGGTGTCGTTTTCCATTAGAGATGGTGTGGCTGTTGACGTTGCACCCTTGGATGCGACAGCATTGAGCAATGAGAAAGCGATGGAAATTGAGGTGCCGAGAAGCTCTCAGCAGGAGCGATCAGTTCGAAAGCTTTATCGCAGCATAGCGCGATTTCGCAATGCAGACGTGGACGAACGGGATCAACTCATCACAGGCGCAGAAGAATCATTGCAGCAGTATCTTGAGTCCAGCGAGGTGGATGGTGATGCCATTTGTGCCTTGGTTCTTCGTTGCAGTGGTTGGCTGCATCCTCCGGCCTCTCCAGTCTCCAAGGAAACTGCCACGGCAGAGGTGGCAGCGGAGGTCAGTTCTAAGGTGTCCAACCTCCAGTGGCGGCTGCGGAAACTGTTGATCCGTGCCCTGAACTGCCTGGATCTCACGGATCCCACGACGCGAAGAGAACTGTGGGCGGCCCTGATCTACATCCAAACCCTGCTGCGGAACTGGGACACATGTTCGGAGGGCTTGACGCCCTCGCGGACGGCTACGCAGTGGAAGCAACTGGAAGCTTTGGTGGGACAGGGTGAGGGCCAAAGGATCACAGAATTCAAAGATCTCAAAGTGCGGAAGGCCAACAAGGCTGGAAGCAATTTTCTATCGGCTGATGTCAGGGAAGAACCTAGTGTGCCTGAGCCGGAACCAAGCAAAGCCCTTGGCAAGCGCAGGGCTGTAGTGCATGCTGGAACGTATCGCCCACACCAGAAGATAAGGGAACTGCCGAGTGTTTTCCATGCGGATGAAGGTGTTGAACTAAAATGCTCCCAGTGCCCGCGAGTCATTACCAGCAACTGGTTCTGGCGGCACCCTGTTTCCGGCAAGGTGCGCGTATTGGTCCCCCACAAAGGGCACACCTGCCCAACTAAGCTGGGCAAAAAGCGCCCGTGGCTGGCGCAGGGAAATATGCCCCAGAAGAACGATCGCCTGGTGGAACTGAATTTCTGCATGCACAATCGCCAGAAGCACTTCTGCAAAGATTGTGGAGGTCGCTATTTCTGTCCTCATGGAATGCGGATTTACAGCTGCCTGTCTTGTAAGAGTCACGGGGCAGGCCCAGGCAAGACGGGTAAGACGGCCCCAGAAAGAGGACGTGTTGGCCAGCAGGATGGGTACATGTCAATCTTGATGAACCAATCTTGCAAACCTATCCTTCATTGCACAGCTATGTTTTCAGATGGCTTCGGTATGATCAGGGTGCATTCTCCAGCGGGCACAGTGGCACCTGTCATGTGATAGGCCAAAAAAAAAACGGTTGATTTCACCAGAACGGGCGATATAAATTAGGGTGCATTTTTAAGTTTAGCCTAAGCACATTCCTTACTCATGTTATGCTCCCATGCACCAAGCCGTTAGGGTTCAGTTTGCCGAAATGGCTGTATACCCAACCTCCATTGGGGATGGTTTTATATGTTGTTTTTTGGGTTTGCCACATTAGTTCAATAGGTCATCTTCAAAAGCACTCATGCCCCATCTGCTCTCACAGTTGTCAGCGCAGGTGAAGCAACAGAAACCCTTGAAGAAGCTGGTGCAAACGGAGCACATGCCACTGGGATCGTCCAAACAAGTAGCCAATGAGATGCCCAATTGCCAGCATCTGCATAGAGAAGTTGTGGTTGATTGATGTCCCCACGCTTGTGGTGAAGCCCCCAATTATATAATTTGTGAATGGTCGCCACTTTTGCTAATTGGACAACGGTGTTCTTTCTAATCAAACCAAACCCCCAAGTTCATATCTCCCAAGTGTTGCTTAGCTTAACCATGCAAACCCCCAAATCTCCACAAATTAAGCCGCATTAAAACACCATGCCTTTACCCGATTTTTGTAAAGCCAAGTCATCAAATGTTGCTAATCCCTAGCCCGAAATATTAAACACCCCCCAGAAGCCATGGTTAGGTACGGATATTAAAGGATTTACACATACTTGGCCTCCTTTTGGGCGTAAACGCGCCCTGCTTGCTGGTGCCCCCATAGGTCCATAGCCAGTTTCAGCTCCTCCATGCTGGTGCTGGATCCCACCAAGCGGCCCTCAGCGCGGAAGGCGGGGGGAAGTCAGAGCTACAGGGCGGAACCGGTTGCAACCAATGTGCTTCATATACCCTCTGGCAATCAAACTTAGCAATGGAAAAACCATGAAAATCTTCCATCTATAGTTGATTTCTTTTCTAAACTACTAGGGATTTCCACTTGCCATGTTTGATTGCCAGGTGGTAATATGATTGCCCCATATTTTCAAGGCGGCTTGAAAGTGCCAACTATGCCAAGGATAGAGGCGTCCTGTGTCGACCTCGCCATGAAATGATGGTTCTTGGATTCTGCCAAGGATATTTTATGACGAGCAATCTTTCATGTAAAGATGTTGATGTTCGCAGCGAAAATCAAAAGAAGATAGGTCCAAAACAACAAACAACAAACTGGGGATTCTGCCAAACAAGGCTGGTGGTTGAGCATCAAAACAGTGTTATTTCATGCGAATCTGAACCAACCTGGGTTCAGATGGGATGGAGACCAGGTTTGAAACCCCATCTGCAAACAACAGGGCCCCATCATTGCGGGATATTATGGAGAAATTTTGGGGATTCGGCTGCTTGGTTGCCATGCCTTTTTTGTTAGCCATGTTGCGGGGGAAGAGTTGGATTTCCCCTTACCTTTTGGGTGGGTGAGGCTGGAAAAAGCATCATTGCTGGACGCGCTTCCCAGTTCGTCAGGGCTTAAAAATCACACCTACCAGCCATTTGGAACTGTCCATAAATCCATAAGAATACGCCAAGAAAATTGTTACTACGCACTTGCTGGGTTCAACATGCATTGTATATATTGTCAAACGTCTTCAAATTTGAAAATTACTTCCCAGGAGGTTGCTTCAGGAGGGAATTCCAATACCTACAGTGAATTTCTTCTGGCCCAGGCCTTGAAACACGAATTCCTATCCGAATCTTTTCCGGATTAATTCAAAAAAATATTTAAAATTTATTTGAATATAATATTTGAATTATTAAATTTTATAATCTATATTGAAAATAATATTATATATATATAATTATATTATTTATTGAATTATTTAAAATAAAAATAGATCGATATTATTATATATTTATATCTAATAATATATAATTATTTAAATATTTATTTTCTAATTATAATGTAAAAAATTATGATTTTTATAACACCATTGTTTTATTTTTTATGATTTTGATATTTTTAAAATTGGATGATATTATATTCCGCAATGATTTTATAAAATTATATATATAATTATTTGAATTAAATTGGTTGATTAATATTGTTTTTTTTATAATATAAATATTAAAGAATAAATATATATATATAATTATATAATATGGATGAAAAAAAAATAATTGGGATATTTATTTTAAATATAATTAAGATTTATAATAATAATATAATTTAATTATAATTTATGAATATAATATTTTATATTATAAAAATAATTTTAATAATATAATTAAAATAATTATAATATAAAATATATATATATTATTAAAAATAAAT